ATTCCCCTCAGCCCTCAATCTCAAAACATTTTTGCCTTCACCTGGACTTATCCTGACATTAATTTTTCCACACAGCTCACCTGGACTGTCCTTCCCCAGGGATTCTGGGACAGCCCACACCTCTTTCGCCAGGCTTTGGCCTCTGATCTGCTTTCACTGTCTCTCCATAAATCAAAACTAATTCAATATGTAGACGACATTCTCCTATGCAGCCTGTCCTTGGAGATCAGCAAGACAGACACCGTCACCATACTAAATTTCATATCCAAAAGGGGCTATAGTGTCTCACCTTCTAAGGCTCAATTGTCCACCACTCAGGTAACATATTTGGGATTGGCCATAACCCCAAACCAAAAGGCTATCACTCTGGACAAAAAAAAAAAAAAAAAAAAAAAAAAAAAAAAAAAAAAACCTAATTCAATCTCTTGCAGTTCCTTCCACCAAAGAAGAGGTCTTATCATTCCTGAGAGTGGCTGGTTTCCTGTGTTCCTGGAACCCCCCTTTTCTCTCCTTGCCCATCCCCTGTACTAAGCAGTTCTTGGCTCCCTGAATGAGCCCCTTCCCCATCCTGTTACCAAACCCTTCCAGAGACTCCAACAGGCCCTAATCGAGGCTCCAGCTCTTCATCTTCCAGATTTAAATCTTCCCTTTTCTCTTTATGTATCAGAAAAGAAGGGATATGCCCTTGGAGTTTTAGGACATCAATTGGGACCTTCTCTTGTGCCTGTAGCATACCTGTAAAAGAAGATGGACCTCACCACTCGGGGCTGGGCACCCTGCATTCATGCTTTGGTGGCTGCTGAGCTTCTTATTCGTGTATCAAAGAAACTAACCTTTATGGCACCCACCACAGTCTTCTCTCACCATAATCTGTCCAACCTCTTAACTTACAAACCCTACCCCCTTCCTGAGTCCTTTCCCTCCAGGTGGCGCTGGTAGAAGATGCCAGTCTCACCTTTCAATGCTGCCCACCCCTTAATATCTCAAATCTTCTACCTCAATCTAATGTTAATTTTTCCCCATTCCACTCCTGCATAGAGAAGTTAGATAATCTACTGCCCCACCCCTCACATATACAGGAGGGCAAACTGTCCCAGGCCTGATTATTTCCCTTAGAAACAATGGAACTGTCAGATTGGTGCATCTGACAGGGAATAATTCCTATAGCTTTAGGGAGATGAGAGGCTTTTAACAGGTTCATAATATAACCTGAGTTAGTTATGGATCCTCCTTTTGTCATAAGATGCCCACTCTCCTTCCAGATAGCTGCGTGGGACAGGAGGATATGAAACACATACTTAGAGTCTGTGTAAACATTTAAAGATTGTCCCTTGGCTAACTGAAAGACACGGGTGAGAGCTATCAGCTCAGCCTGCTGGTTAGTGGTATGGGCATGGAGTGCCCCTGCCTCAACTATCTCTGTATCTGATACTATGGCATAGCCTGCTCTGCACGTCCTATCACATAACAAGGAGCTGCCATCTGTGTACCATATATAAGTGGCCTCAGTCACCTCAGGGATTCCTTACAGTGCAGCCCACACTCTCACAGACACCTCCTGACACCCGACAGATCCTGTCCTACCTACATCAGCTCTTTCATCCTAATAACAAAGCTCTACTGCATTTTCTTAGGGCTCGCCTCGAACCCACCCCTGAGGATATCAGGTTCCTTAAGGCTATTCCTGCCTCCTGTCAGATCTGCCAGAAGTCAGATCCTAAGACCAAATACCGTAGTTTCCCTTTTCCTACTCACCATGCCAGGGGCTCCCTTCCAGGAACTGACTGGCAGCTGGATTTCCCTCATATGCCCACAGTCAAAAGGGTTAAATATCTCCTGGTTTCGATGGATACAATGTCTGGGTGGGTTGAAGCCTTCCCCACCACCACAAAGAGAGCCCAGACAGTCTCCGATGTTCTTCTCTGAGAAATCATTCCCCGGTTTGGAATTCTAACCTCTGTTCAGTCAGATAATGGCCCTGAGTTCACGTCCCAGATCTCTCAAAACCTGTCCAAGGCCCTTAACATTCCCTCACTTTTCCATATCCCATACCACCCTCAGTCTTCAGGTAAGGTAGAACGGACTAACCATTCTTTAAAAGATGCCCTTGTTAAAATGTCCCAGGAACTTCACCTTGACTGAGTAAGACTCCTACCTCTGGCCCTCCTCAGACTTAGAGCCCTCCCCAAATGTCCCCTTTTCATCTCACCTTTCGAACTCATGTATGGGCAGCCGGTTCAAACCCCCGGTCTCCCACCTAACTCCCCCTTCCTGATCACCAGCTCACACCACTACTAATCCATCTATGCTCGCTACTGTGGGATTTTACCTACCACTCATTACCTCAACCATGTGCTAATCCATGTCCACTGCCGATTAAAATAGGAGATCAGGTATTATTCCCCTCCCCAGGTCAACGTCCCTTAACCTTTTCCCCTAAATGGCAGGGTCCCCTCAGAGTAATTCTTTTGACTCCCACAGCTGCTAAGCTCAAGGGAATTCCTCACTGGATTCACCTGTCACATCTTAAAACGTTTACTTCTCCAGCTCAAGACCTCATACACGGTAACTCAGACAGGACCTTGCTCTCTTAAGTTCCAGAGGACTCCAGTCCAAGGAAAATAGAGGTCCTGTCCTTTAATCAACTCTCTTGTGCCAACATATTTTCCTTTCTCCTCTTTTTCTAAATTTCCAAATAACCACTCAGCTGTCGTTACAGGAATCACCATCAGACACGGAGCCAAAGGTTCAGGTGGTAAGCAAATTCTTAACAAAGTTTCTTGACACACCAGGTTCGCCACTGATTGCAGCAGTGTCTCCTGGATGTTAAGGTAATGCCCAAAACATCCTACATGTTAAGAATGTATTTCTTTTAAGACATTTTCTTTAAGCCAGCTTGACCCACCTGAATGGACTGGACTCGAAAGGAATAAGTCCTCAAATGGAATAAGTATCATTTATTTTTTATCATTCTTAGCCTCTAAAACCCTAATGCCCCCCACTACCTCAAACCCTGAAGCCCCCCACCTCAAATCTCCTTTTTAATTTTTTTCTCTCTCCTAACACGATTTTTGTTTTCCAGCATCTTACGATGACTCAGTTCCTCAAGACACAGACGGATGTGGTTTCAATCAGCCATCCCAGGACACCAGCAAACAGGGCACGATCCCCAGGACACACCGGACACCCCGGACCCCTCAATGCCCACAAAGTCAGCAGGGAGCAGTTATGAGACACCAGGCTATGCCTTCATTCCCTACCCATTAAGACCATCAACCCCCCAAATTTTTAATAAATCAAAAAAGGTGGAGATGTTGTTCTCTGGGGGAAGTGCATTTTCTAGGAGGCCCCTGAGCTATGCTAGCCTGAGGAACTACTTTTCCCAGGAGCACATGCACCTAGCGTCTGATGCAAAGGCCCCTGCATGCAGACTCAGAACATGGCATTTGATGCATGTGCTTGGGGGTCCCCTTTAAAAGCTCAAAAACCATTTGTTAGTCCTCTTTCCCCTTTCCTTCCTTCACTGTAGAGCACGCTGCACCCTCCCCTCAATAAACCTCACCACATGGGTTTTTTGTGTCTCGAATTTTCCTTTCATCTCCAAGGAAATGAAGAAGAACAGAAGATACAAGAGAAGATATGTACTTGTTCAAAGTACACAAAGAAATCACAATAACAAAGATATCTGTTGTGTTAATTATTTTAAAGGGTAGTATTGATCATGATGCCATGAAGAATATATAGTTGATTTCCAGCAAAGCTTATGATATCTGATTTCCTAAATATAAAAGGGCATACAAGCGAAAAAAAAATTCATGTACAAGAGTTTTATATGCCAAAACACAAAGTCTGTGCCTACCAAGACAGCAGAGTTGAGCCTGTGAGAACCTAAAATACAATAGGATAAAAGAAGTATGTTTCCTCTTCTAAACCTTATTGTACTGAGAGAGTCTTTGGTGACAGGTAGGCTAGTGCCTTCATATGTTACTGCATAATATTATCAATGACTGTAAGTTTTCATGAAAAAAAAAAAACTACATCATAGCCATTCCCACAATGGATCTTAGAGAAAAGAGGAGAGGGAATGACTTCCTTTACTCTGTCAGAGGCTAAAGCCTGAAGTGAATTATATCCTTTCAGATACTGCAGTATTTCAAGACTGAGTGGCGCCAAAAGTTTAAAGAGAAGCAGAGGTTTCAGGAGCAGGAATCTATCTATATAAGAGACCATGGTAGACTCAGAACAGTAATACTGGGAATAAACCAGTACCTGATTTTGCTAAATTCCCTGGGCTTAGTCAAGAGCTGTTTGCCTTGTGTGAATCTATGTACATTCGAGTTTTTCTTATAAAGATGAGCAGCTGAGAGTTGGCATATAGCCGGAGCCTGACTTGGAAGGACCTGCAATGCTGAAAAATGTAATTAGCACTCCTTGCCTCTGACTGAAGGAGTGTATGCATTCAAATTGTTCCGGCAACAATGAGAGGAATGATCTCAATTCAATAGGCACAAATCCTGTGATAACCTTGGTGATCTAGATCAAAACTTCTGACTCATTTCTCCATCCCGTCTAACTATGTGTGGACCAGCAGAAAAAAATGAAAGTGAAAGTGGATGACAGGAATAAATGTATTTTACCTAGCACCAGAATCCAATTATCAAAAAAGAAAATATCACAGGTATCTAGGAGATGATCATACATCCCACTCTTTGAAACTGTGTCCTGCCTATCTACCTGAAATTTCCCATTTCTGCCTGCCGATGGCTGACTGGGATTCTGTGCTGCCAATTACAGCTTACTGTTATCACATTCAGAAACACCGTGTCAGAGTCCCTAAACACAGTGATTGGGGAATCCAGAACTTGAAGTTTTCAGATTCCCAGGTGCCTGAGGATATTTTCCAACAATGCAATTATCTTACTGGGGCGTCCAATGGAGCACATAAGCAGTATATTCCCAGGTGCCATCACGTATTGACCTTAGAATTACATCTTCATTACAGAAAATGCAGACTCCAAGACTAACCCAGGAATCACAGATATTAAGGCTGAAGTGGTTGCTTCAGAGTCTCGAGCACGTCTCCTGCACGGCATACAGGAACAGGTGCGTCTTAGCAGGAGTATGTGAAATCTCACAAAAATCCTTGTTTTCCTAGGTTCCTATTGCTTCTGTCTCCTATAGGTCTCTGGGACAGATTTTCTTCTCTGTTTTTTTTTTTTTTATATTCCATCAGGAGCCTGACTAAAGTCTAGTTTAGTCTGACGGGTAAAACCCCTCAGTGCAGACACTGCACTTTTATGCCATCTAGGAACCAATAAGGAGAGAGATCTAAAATGAAGCATCGGAAAGCACAGGCCTGCATTTAATCTGAGGATGTCATCAAGAGCTTATGATTCATTTGTGTGCCCCTCCTGGCTGTATGTTGTAAGAAGAGGCAGAGCAGTTGAAATGGGAACTCAGGATAAAATTTATTTTTTTCCTGTGATTGCTACTTGACTGCCTCAGGTTACAACGTAACCATTAAAGCAAAAGAATAAGATAATGACTATAAATCACATTCCCCATTGTTAACTACTCTAAAGATCATTGTAATCTACTTACTCACCAAATACGATATGGTCCTCTGTGGACAGCAACGTTAAATTATCATTTATGAATAATAGATGATAATATCAAGAAATGGGCAAAAGTCTGGGTTCTTCCCTTATTGTCTTCATGCATATAATGTAACAAGAGCAGCATGGAGGACACTCCTGTATATTCCATCTCAGACACAGAGTGACAATGGGATTAAAACTTGAACAACACTCTGGAGTTCGGTATGGCAGTTTCTCAGAAAATTAGAAATCAACCAACAGGAAGACACATTGATACCACAATTAGAGTTACATACAAAATTTGCTCAATTAGGCTATAAGGATATTTGTTCCACTATGTTCATGGCAGCATTATTTATAATTGCAAGAAGTTGGAAACAATCTAGATGCCCTTAGACCAAAGAATGGATAAAGGGATTGTGGTACATTTACATAGTGGAGTACTACTCAGTGTTAAAATAACAATAATATCTTGAAATGAGCAAGCAAATGGAGGAAACTAGAAAGAAAATAAAAACATCCTGAGTGAGGTAACCCAGACCCAGAATAAGGATGAGGATGGTATGTACCAAATCATAGGTGAGAATACCAGCTATTAAGCAAAAAAATAGAGAAACTGTATCCCATGAACTTAGAGAAGCTAGGAACAAGGGGAACATTAAAAGAAACAAACATGGATCCCTCTGGGAAGGGAATATAGACAAGATGTCCTGAGAAAAATCAGGAAAGTATGAACACAGGGAAAGAGAAAAGTAGAAAAGGCGGTGTGTTGAAAAAGAGAGGGAGAAGAACTCGAAAAAACAGGATTGTCAAGTTGGGAAATGGACAGAGATGGAGAGCATGGGAAAAGGTATTTTGATTGTGGGAGCCATTAGGGAACCTGCAAAAAACTGGAATAGGAGAAATTCCCAGGAATACACACGGATGATCCCAGTGAAGATCCTAAGCAATAATGAATTGGGTGCTTGAGCAATGCTTGCCTTGTAATCAGATAGAAACCTATCTTTTTTTTTACATTTTTAATTGATTTTTATTGATCTCTACATTTTTTCTCTGCTCCCCTCCCTGTCTCTTCCCTTCCTTATCCAACCCTCTCCCAAAGTCCTTATGCTTCAAATTTACACAGGAGATCTATATATCTTAAATGTCAATAGAGCCAAAATTCAGCAACTGATGGAAGCAGATGCAGAGATCCACAGACAATCACAGGGCTGAGTTCTCAATGTGGAGTTGAAGACTAGGATGAGTGAGAATATATTCAAAGAGATCAAGGCTGTGCTATGGGTATACACTGAAACAGCTTAGCTGAGCTAATGGGAGCCTAACAACTTTGGCCTGACAGTGAGAGAATCAGCAAAGTATCAAGCTAGGCACTCAGAATGGATGACAGTTGTATGGCTTGAGCAGACAGTGGGGTCACTGGCAGTGTGAGCAGAATATGTCCCTTCTGCTTCTTCTGGCTTTAGGGACCCATTTTCTGAAAGGCTACCTAGTTCAGCCTAGATAGAGTGACAAAAAAGAAACATAAACTTAAATACTGGAACTCCCAAAATATGCAAAGATAGATAAGTAAGATGGTTTTAAATTTTTACCTTCCTCTGAAAATGGTCTGTCAGTTACTCTAAGCTTTAGCCAAAGTTGGTTGCTCCAAAGTTGCAAATGAGACTGGGTGATTAGCCAGGTAAGGTAACCACATGTCTCTGCCATTTATTGCACATTTTGGAAGATGCTTGATCAGCTTTTCTATTTATTCAAGTAATATTATTTCCCCTCTCGGGTCTTTCATGGCATTGAAGACTAGATAGTCATGGTTACTTTCCTTTCATGACTAGGCCAAGCCATTTCTAATATAAGATTTAGACATCATAGGATAGGATAATTATTGAAACATTTAGCATATATTTCTTGCTTGACATTGTTTATGCTGTTTGTTACTCTAAATTTTATATGTGGTATCTGTTATGATTGTATATAATTTTACTTTGTGTTTAAAATTCTCTTATTTAGACAAAAGGGAGAGGTGCTCTGGGAACTGGTTAAGACAATGGTTTTGAGATCCTGGGCCACTTTGGCATGGTCTTGGGATACTATAAAAACAGATGGAGAAATGTGCTCTTTCTCCCTCTTGGCTGCTGGATTATTTTCCTGTTTCCTGCTCATGCAGAAGACTGATAATTTGAGAGTATACCCCTAATTAAAGAACTCTTTATTATACTCAATTCTGACTAATGTGGGACTACTTTATGGCACTGCTCCACAAAATATTTCTATTCCTCTATTGCAGTATTCATTTAATCCAATAAGAACTTTGCTTCTTTGCAAAATCACAATTGTTGTGAAACTATATTATTTACAATACTGGTTGGCCAATAACTTAAAAGTATTGCTAGTTAGTTCTTATATCCTAAACTAATCTATCTCCACTATTCTGTGCATCCCCATGAGGTCTTGACCTACTAGCAAGTATTGGTAGGTTCTAGTGAAGGCATCTGTCTCTGACTGGAGTTACATGGCTTCTCCATGACTCCACCTGTATTTTCATATATCTCTTTCAGCCTGGCTTTACTCTGTTAAACCATTAGTTGAAAGCAACTTCCTTAGTGTATGGCAATAAAATGTATTCACAGTGCACAGCACCTCCCACAGCACCTCCCCATTTTTTTCTAAATAAAAAGGGACATTATAACTTTTTATCATAACTAAGGAAAACTATAATTATGACTTTATTCTTCAACTACACCAAAGTATCCAGAAATATAATATTGCCTAGTTTTAAAAAAAAGTACATTGTAAGCAATCTCAAAAACTCTAGATTTGAGAGAGACATCTCACTGCATGGACAGTCACACAAAGATCTTCTGTAACTTGGTGGGTACCCATTTCATCTTACTGAACCATGGTTTCTGGCAGACTTTTCCAGGATATTTCAAAGACAGTTCCCCCTGTACTGGCAGATTTTCAGTCACTTTCTTCTGTATTCTACAGAATGCCTTGCAGACTGTTTCATGAATTAGGAACACTGGAGAACTGTCTCACCTTCTTTAGGCAGCTACAGCTGTCATTTTCCTCTGGGTCCTATGTCCAGTTCATTCAGCATATCATCAAGCGGCCCAGGCAAGAGCAGTTTCTCGCCCAAATGGCTAGCAAACTCCATAAGGAGCCTCCTCGTTGCCCATCTTCATTTGAAGTAATTAGTGCTACCAGGAGCTGATGGGCGTGGGTCTCATTGTCACAAACAGTCCTACATTTTTAAAACATTTTAAATATCATATGCTATTAGTTTTTGAGACGTCTGAAGAATAACTATCCATCAGAAATATATCTCTTTACATCAAGAAAACCTGAATAACATGACTACAAACGTGACTATTATAGATGACTCCCATTAACCTATGTTTCTTAATCATACATTCTATTTTAAACTAGCATCACAACACAATACCTTAATTAATAGCATACATTCCTATCACACAAGAGCATATATTAATCAAGAGCATATATTCCTATCACACAATTAATCTTAAATTTGTATCTTATATGTATGCAGATGAAACACCCAGGTCCGTCAGTTTTTTTCCTTCCCCTTGCTCCCTTTCCGTTGGCTGCTCTTTTGGATCATGTGATTCAACCGGTCAAGCGGAGGATTCTGATTTGTGAGTTTAAGCCTAAATAACTATCTATTTCTCATTTCTGAGCTAGTGTGAGATTTCTTTTAAGCGTCTGTTCACCATTTCAATTAAGGACCCGCTATTCTCAAAATGTTATTAGCTCACCTTTCCACTGACTGAAGGAGTGTGTGCATTCAAACTGTTCCCGGAATATAAACCTCCGAGGAGAATGATCCCAATTCCTCCAATAGAAACAAATCCTGTGGTAACCATGGAGATTTCTATCAGAGCCGCTGACACATTTCTCCCTCCCATCTAAATGTGTGGTCCGACAGGAAAAAAAAAAAAAAAAAAAAAAAAAAAAAAAAAAAAAAAACATAAAAGTGAAAATGGATGACAGAAAGAAAAAAATCAGTTTAACTCGGAACTGAATGAAAGTATCAAAAAAGGAAAGCATTGTGAGATAAATAAGAGGTGATCATATATCCCATGTCTTGGGTCTGTATCCTGCTGTCTACCTGAAATTTTCCATTTGTGCCTGCTGACGCCTGATTGTAATAGAGTACTGCCGATTACAGCTTACTGGTATCATATTCGGAAATGCCATGTCAGAGTCCCTAAACACACTAATTGGGGAATCTACCACTTGAAATACTGAGATTCCCAGGTGCCTGAGGATATTTCCCGAGATCGCAATTATCTTACTGGGGCCTCGAATGGCGCATAAGGTCAGTACATCGCAGTTGTTGTCAGTTATTGATGCTCTAAATACATCTTCATTTCAGAAAATGCAGAATCCAGTTCTAACCAAGGAATCACAGATATTAACACTGAAGCCGTGGCTTCAGAGACTCAAGCACATATTCTGCACTGAAAACAGGAACAGGGGATTCTTAGCAGGAACATGGAGATTCTCAACAAACCTTGCTTTGCTATGTTTGTATTGCTTCTGTCTCCAGCAGATCCCTTGGACAGATTTTATTCTCTGGGGTTGTTTACAGTGAGGCTTTGACTAAAGTCCAGCTTTTAGCAAGACTTTAGTCAAAGCCTCACTGGCAAAAATCCCTCACTGCAGATCTTTTTATGTCATCTAGGAACCAATAAGGAGAGAGCTCGCAAAACAAGCACCGGAAAGCACAGGACAGCAATTAACATGGTGATCTTATCCAGAGCTGATGAGTCATCTGTGACTCCCTCTGCCCTGCGTGCTGTGAAAAGAAGCAGGGCAACTGACAGAACACAGGATAAAATGCAATTTACCCTGTTTTTTTTTTGCCTACAGTTAACAGGAGACAAAACTGGCAATGTATGACAGGTTGTCTGAGCGAGCTTGCAGCTGTTTTGCCTCCAATGTACCCTCCATTCCTGTCTGGAGATTTCTGATTGTGACTCTGTGCAGCCAAGTGTATCTGGCTTCTGATTTTTTGTAATCTGTTCTTAATTATGTTTTTTATGCAGTAAAATTGTAATTAAATATGTTACATATAATACAATATTATGTATTATATACAAATATAATATACAATTACAATTTTCAATGTAGTTGAATTTTAATACATAATATATAAATAAGTTGATTAGAGTGTTGTACAAGGGAATGAGTCGATTTAAGAAAGAAATGCAGACTTGAAATCCAATTCCAAATAGACTCGATTGTAATATAGTATCCCACAGTGTCTTAATGAAAAAGAAACGAATCCAATTTAATTGATTTCAGGAAAAAATAAATATATTTGTATTGTTAACATTAGTTTTTGCTTGTTTTAAAGCCTTATAGGTGTTTGTACACTTAACTTTGTAAGAAGTAGCCTTCATATTTTTGTTTCTTGCAAGCAATCAATATATAAAAAATGGCCTCTAAATAATAATTTATAAGAATTTATTTTAAAAATCTACTAGATTCCAAATAGTAGCACGTCTCTCCCAAGTACATAATCACAATTAAATCTGAAGTCGTTTTATTTCTATATTTAATAAAAAACATAATTTATTTAAGGAAATTGTATGTCCATCAATTTAAAGCCATCTGTTGATATATGAGTGCACTTCATGACAAGCTAGCCTGAAAATAATTGTAAGTTTCCTTCTCAATTAGTTCAATACAACAGATAGTCACTCTAATAAGGATTTGGCTTTATTTGTCCTGCCACTAGTCATAGTGGCATTTTTGAGCACTGTATATACTACAAGAATTAAGCATTTAGTTACAATTTTTGAAAATTCATTCACTCAAGTGTGTTTACATATTAATCAAATATTGTTTTAATGCATATATTTATTAAAAATATCAGATTTGAGACAGGTTTTCTCCTTGGACTGAAACATAGCATTCTGTCATAGCTGGCCATAAATACTCAGAAAACTTCCTTTTACCACACTTCTCGAATGTCCCGGAATTTTATAATACCAGCATGCCTTCTTTAGAAAATGTGCACTCTAAAAATGTCTTCTAGGTTTGCAAATTTACAAATGTGCAAGTTGCTGACAGAGACTGCTGCCTGACTGTCTCAGATTACAATATAATCATAAAAACAAAAAAGTATGATAATAACTATAACTGACAGACTGCACAGTAAACCATTCTAAAATCATTGTAATCTACTTATTCACCAAATATGATATGGTCCTCTGTAAAATCCACGGCTATATTATCTTTTCTGAGTAGTAGATGATAATGTGAACAAAAAAGGGCAAATGTCTGTGTTTTCCCTCTATCATCCGCATGCATATAATGTAATAAGAGCAGCATGGAAGAAAATCTATGCCCATCGACCAAAAAATGGATAAAATATGAAGAATCAATTACACCATTGAGCACATCTCAGCTTTAAAAAAAAAATGACATTTTGAAATTTGCCGGCAAATGAATGAAATTAGAAAAATCCATCCTGGGTGAGGTAAACACAAACAAAAAAATTCCAAAAAACAAAAACAAAGGAAAAAGACAGGATCTCGGGAGAAATTGGGAAAGTATGGTTGCAGGGAGAAAGTAATGCAGAAGGGGAGGAGGGGGAGTGAAAAGGAGATGGGAGGAGAGCTTGAAGGAACAGGATTGTCAAGTGGAATATGGACAGAGACAATGAGCAAGGAAATAGGAATCTTGATTGAGGGAATGATTATGGGACCAGCAAAAATCTGGAATTGGAGAAATTCACAGGAATTCACAAGGATGACCCCCGCTACACCCTAAGCAATAGTGGAAAGGGTGCTTGAAGAGCCTTTGCCTTGTAGTCAGATTGGTGGTTTTTTAAAATGTCATCATAGAACCTACATCCAGCAACAGATGGTAGCAGATTCAGAGATCCACAGTTGATCACAGGGCTGAGCTCCCAAACTTCAGATGAAGAATGGGAGAAGTGAGAATACAGTCAAAGAGATCAAGGCCATGATGGGAATACCCACTGAAACAGCTTTCCTGAACTAATGGTAACCTAATACCATTGACCTGACAGTGAGGGCACCAGCATACTGACAGTGAGGGCCTTTGATTTTGTGGGACAGTTGTATGGCTGGGACTGAGTGCGGGGATAGGAGCAGTGGGAGCAGGATTAATCCATCCTGCTTTTTCTGACTTTAGGGAGCCCATTCACTGGAAGGCTACCTAGCTCAGCTAAGATATAGTGGAAACAAAGTAAACATAAAATTAAAAAATGGAACTATGATAGACTTATATGAAATAAAATAAATTCCTAAAGAAATTATCTGTGTAATTTATGTGTCTTTTTTTGTTTTTTCAAGACAGGGTTTTTTTCTCCAGCTTTGGAGCCTCTCCTGGAACTAGCTCTTGTAGACGAGGGTGGCCTCAAACTCACAAAGATCCTCTTGCCTCTGCCTCCTGGGTGCTGTAATTAAGGTGCACCACCGCTGCCCAGCATTATGTGTCTTTTTAAGGTACCAGGTAAACCTACAAAAAGCAAAAGAGAACTTTTACATATAATATATAGTGTTATTTATCTTTGATTTTGCTTTTGAGTCATATACAGAAAGAAAAGAATACTGGAATTTTCCCTTTTCTATATTTTCTTTATCCCTGTAGGAGCCAGCCATGATAATCTAAATATGAATAGATCACGCAAAGGAAGTTCTTTAGTTCCAACCATTATCACTTGACAATGTAGAATCCAGCCATCAATAAGTTTATTAGTGGCCTAAGTCTCAGTCGTTGACCCTGAAGCAGTACTTGGTTGCAGGAAGGACCATAAACTAAGATTACCTGAGCACAACCCAAGAACTTATTATCCAAAGGAAATGCCTAAGATGCCAACTCTATAGATATGATCACCCACAAGCACATCACCAGGAAACCCCTAAACAAATGTCATCCAATCAGGGGTCTGGAACCTCAGAAACCCCTTACTCATAATTTTACAACAATGAAAACCCAACTCTAACTGAGCTTGAGGCTCTCTGTTTATTCCAATACATTGGTCATTCAGAGAGACTGAGTTTGTAAACTTACACAAAATAAAGCTCTTGGCTTTTACATTTGGGACTCGCTCTCCTTGTTGGCTTTTGGGGGACATTGCAGATTTGGGCATAACAATCTCATAGGAAATAATTAGAGTCACAGTACTTTTACTCTTTGATATTGTGTTATGTGCTTACTTCTTGTCACAGAATGGGAGGTGCAGCCTGACCAAAAAAAAATGGGCCTGTTCATTAATTCCACATTTTAATTTAGTTGTAGACCACAGCCCAATCTGTGGTAAGATTTTAAGCATCAGCTGGGCAGGTTCAACTTCCATGTTCATGTAGTTCTTTTTCCTTTTCTAGAGATGAGCATTCAGGATCAAATCACTGCTGAGTAAGTGAAATATGTAAGGAATAAACATTGATATTTTAGAGAAAATATACATATAAAATATTATATACCAACATTTTTACGAGTAGATTTTAATCATAAAACTTGTCAAGAAGATAGTAAGGATAAATATTTATGTTTCCAATGCCATATAAATAAAATATAATAATAATGCTGTATGTATAAAAAATCAAAAACAGGGCATGGAATATTCCTTTATACTGTATGTATATGTCATTTTGATTGATTTAGTAAAGATCCTTATTGGATTTTATCTAGACAGTATAACATTAGGCTGAATAACCAGACAAAAAAGTAGTTGGGAAACATGAAGGAGTCTCAGTATCGTGAGAAGCAGTGAGAAGGAGAGATTTTTGCTATACTAAGAAAACATACCAGTCCACATGACAGAGAAGACATAAGAAATAAAATTAATATAATATTTACAAGTTAGCCAGTAATAAGCTGTGCTTTTACTGAAAGTTTATAATAAATGTATAAATAAATAAATAAATACTTTTTTGTGATTTTTCAAGAACTGTCATGTGAGACGCAAACTCTCCCTACTACTAGCATTCTGACATGGGTCACTAATTACTACATAACAACTAAAATATATAGTTAAAAGGTTCTAAGCCATCAAAAAGTTGAATCAAACGTGTCTTTTGAATAAGTTCCTTTTTTCAGCTAAGATCAATGCTAGTGGCAAGCAGAGGAATGGCAGATTACGAGATGGCTTATGGGCTGCTTGGTGGTGACAAATAGGAGTATGGCAAGTTTATAATATCCATTAAAGGATAATGTCTTGTTTACCAATATAAATGAAGTAAGTTTGCTTAAATTATATGGTCAGCTTCAGCAGAGTCCTGTCCTTGCCGGGTTCGTTCCTGCCCCAGAGAAAGTACAAAGACAGCCACCTTTCAAATATTTGGGATACCCGTTGTATCATAAATAAATTATTCCTCAGAAATTGGAAATTATGAGAGAAAAATGGCAAACTTGAACGAATTTCAGAATTCCTGGGGTATATACCAACAACCACTGTGACTCCGTGGGGCTTCTTGGTAGTCACATTTTTCAGAAAGGCTTTATTTGTTAGCAGTGAGTAGAGGTATGACTTCTTAGAGACAGCTTTCTGGTTCATACTGGAAGCCAAAACTGCTCTGGATCTTTTGGATGGTCTTCTTGCAATGTGTGTAAATGGTGTTTGTGAGCAGCAGGTTGCAAATTGCTTTATAGTGATATAGGCCAACTATGTCCCTAGTTCTGGGGCAATATCATTGCTTAAAGAAGTGATGAACATGACTCTCCAATGTTGGACGGGGTTAATTCAACAGGCAAAGGCACAGAGATAATCTCTGCCATGCCTGATAAACATTAAGAAGAAAAAACTCTCCTGTCAAAAAATGATTATACATATACAATAAAGATAGATTCATTCAAAAATAAACCTCTGAACAAGTCATGGTTGTTTAAAAAAATGTTCTTGTCTTACGAATAAAATGGCTATAGGCAGTAATAGAATGAAATAGTTTTACAAAATAAAACAGTCTTTAAAAAT